GATTATATTATTTTAGGTTGAATAATGCTATTTGTACGGTCTTTGCTTTACATGAAATTTGACATTGTATGTATATTCAAAAACGGTTTGGAGGAAAAGTGTGTTAAATTCAAAAACTGTCCAATGTGATGGCGCCATGGAACAATGTAAAACTTGATGTGAAACTTAATGTACTTGTAGCATGATTCAAGTGACTTTTAGATTCATCATGAGCCTTTTCTTTCACATTTCTTCTACAATCCCCCTGTCAAACTTACATGAAGATTTTTCGAAAATCTAAATAACCCTTTACTTTAATCATTATGCATGAATGTAAAATATAATTTCTCAATATACACTATGTCGTAAGTGAAAAACGTGCCGCTGTTAATTATAATAAAAGAAATTAATTAAGCTATATGTACATTCAAATTGTATATATTTGTTGACATTGTATAATGTATAAAAAATTTGATCATTGATTTGAATAAGTGTTATTCAAATAAATGGTCGAAATACTTGCTACATTATACAGTATCAACCAAGATGTTAACAAAACTGTAAATGTAACATAACTCTAAAAGAAATCAATTCACAATGTAGGGAGTGTATGTGACACAAATTTTAAATATCGAAGTTAATGCCAAGGATTTCAGACCAAACGCATAATAAATTCCATTTCTAAGTATTCAATATGGAAAATGCATTGATATGAGATAGGTTATATGGAATCATGGATCATTTAAAAGCTCTCATATATTTAACAAAAGCTCTGCGCTTGATAGATTTACGCATTTTGCATGTTGTGAGAAGATAAGTATTTTATTCTTCTATTTTCTTTTGTTTCATATTTTGATTTTTAACATTATTTGATCCACAATGAATTTTAATAATACATTTTATGGATTTCACAATTTTTCAACTAATTATTTATCAATTTTTTATCAAAATATATTAAAATTCTGATTTACATCTAAATTGCCCATCTATTTTTGAGTTGTATTATTTCAGAAAAGTGAACGAGGAAAACCCTAATTGCTAATCGCTATAGTTAGACACCGGCTTGGTCTTAAGTCGAACCTTTCCTAAATTCCAAACTTTCATTGGGAGTTTTTATTTCTCCGATTTTGGGTGACATCATTTATGAGGAGTTAAAAAAATCGGTGCTCACTAGTTTTTTTTATATACTGATTTTGAAAAAATTAATGTAGTGTAATTTTGATCAATTCTATTAACCCACCAAATCAAAAAGCTTTGGTCGGTTCTCATATTCTCTTCTAATTTTATCCTCTATAAAATAATTATTTCATAACCAACATATTTTCTTTAAAACTTGTAAATAAAATCACATTAACTAAAAATTACATTATAATTAAAAAATACTTATAAGTAAAATATTATTATAAGATAAGAAAAATTATATCATAATTAAAATAACTACTTATAAGTAAAAAAATCACTTTCATGTAAAAAAAATTATAAAATAAAAATAGTACTTGTAAGATAGAAATTCACTTATAAAATATAAAAAAAAATTCTTATAAGTAAAAAAATCATTTAAAAGCATAAAATTCACTTATAAATAAAAAAAATATTAATATAAAAATTCAAGTACTTATTTAACTTTATTTAATTTTTTAGTTAAATATTAACTTATGTGTAAAAAATTATTTATAAGTAAAATATCACTTATAAGTAAAAATATTCATACAAAAAATTATAAACTGAAAATTTCATTAAGGAATATATATGTAATTTAATTCTTTCTAAAAACTTTTAAAAACGATGAATAATAAACTCCCATAGAAAGTTTTAAAAAATGAATATTAAAATCATTATCGTCTACTCTCAAGATAGATACTTTAAAAAACACTCACAATCGTTATTCCGAAACTCTAAGGCCTTAATTGATGGGATTCTTTATTAAAAGACCTAGTCAAACAAAGTAGTTG